AAAACTCAAGGAGGACCGAATATTGGACTACAGCTACAGCTGTTGAACACCTGAATTTCTTAGTTCTGCCAATCAAACGGGCGAAGTTTAGCAGCCGTAAAACGAAACAGTCCATATTATAGCATGAAACATATGATCCTTCTGATTCAGTGACATAACGCCTTGACTCCGTCGTTGTTTCAAATTTACAAACGCACCCCGAGTCGTGTTCAGCAACTGCATATTTAGAAGCATGAGATTACAATTTTATAGTGTGAAGTGAAGACAAAAAACACCCGAAACAATCACCTTTCCCTTAATCTTCAGAGATGAAAACGACTGCCCTTGTATATTCCAGATCGACAAGGCTTCCCTCAGGAGCTATTCAAACACAGGGTTACAGAAGAAGTTTCAGCATCCGTCTTATTTTTTATTGATCACGAAATTAAATAAGAATGGAGGTATTGAACGCCTCTGACGGACATTGCTTTATGTAAGGGAGCTTTTGGAGAGCTCTTCGTGCCTTTTTGTACCACGTCTGCCTCTTTCGCACCTCCTGTCCCAAACGATGCCAGGGACTGCAGAGCTGACACAGCGCACTTCAACTACATGCCCATCTATCAAAAATGTTCCCACCGTATAATGAGCCTCATGCCGTATTCTGCAAAGAAGGAAAAAGAAAGCAAAAATGGAAACAATTTTCGTCAGACGCCTGTGTCGCTCAGTACTGAAGTTACCCTGGTTAAAGCATATATCCCGGGTAATCTCTTTATGAATCAAAAAGTTCATTGATATCGGAGCGAAAATGCTAACGGTGACTCACCAAACACGTGCAGAACATCGTTTTTCAAAGGCTACATAATTTATTTTGATCATAGTTGTACTATTTTGAGGCCACTTTATCGTACAAACACGCTGCAGAAAGACATTTCGTGTCTTTCTCCGAACTGCATGCTGCGAGCCAACATATTTGAACACAGTTTGGTCAATGCACGCCTCATAACCACACATGCTGACACCTGTTTTTATTGACCGCACACCTATTATCCTCCACTGAATATCGATTACCGTTTTTGAAATTGGACAGTGTCATCTAACCACAGTAGTAACGAACTGTGTCCACTTTAGCCTGCCTGCTGCTTCAGACCGCAGGATAGCTCATAACGTGGTGCTTTCTAGCAGATCTCTGAAACTTTCTTGTTTTGAGTTTCCAACGTAGACAAGGCTGTGTTATGGCCCAACCTGAATGGCAGGAATAAACCACCGTGTACTTTTGATGGACTCAGAATTATTCTTCCTCCATGCTGGATGAAATTTGTCACGATTCATCAGCACAACCCAATGAAAACCCAAAATGGCTGACCCAAGATTTTGACTTACGGGGCATTCCACGAATCCAAACACGACTCGCGGTGGTGGTATCACAACTACCATGCTCAGTCTGATGGCTTGCACATAGGTCACCATATCCGTGATATTTATCGGACGAGCGTGATACAGACCGTTCCAATCCGTCGAATTTTCGCCCGAACTTAGAAACCCGTGCTGTCTGCTAGTTTCGACGACCCGTCGGAAACCGCATTTGCTTTTCCCACAAAAAGTCGCTGGCATCAATCTTGTGTGACGCCTAGACTTCAGTTCTGATGGCTTTCGATTTCAATTTGGTAAACCTTCGGTTTCTTTCAGCGGAACAACAACAGGTCTTACTGCTTGGCTCAAAGTTGTTTACCATGTTCAGCGCAGCAGTAATGACCACTTCTGATTAAACCGTCTGACGGCTTGTAGAGTGCTTGGTCCGCTTACAGAACGCCGACGTGGAAGAACGCCGGGCGGTAAAAATTGTTTCAAAAAATCCCTTAAACCTGATCAGGCGAATGGCTAACTCACAGCCTATGATTGCCCCGAAAAAATCTCAGGGGCACTCAGAATCTAATTTGACACCAGCGCAAGCTAATTCAGGGGCACAATATCACTGAGAAGGCGTGCACGATGGGCTGTTCAACCCATAATAAGACACCCATATGGACTAAATAGCAGAAATGAACCCATCTAAGCAACCTGCCAACTCAGAAAATCTGCAGATTTATCGTCGCCGATTGACAATTCTTTTGAGGGGACTTCTATGTTGGCTCCATTTTTCACCTTCCACAAAAAAGAATCTGCTATGTGACAAAGAGTGTTCGAATACGCCCCTATTAATCTTACGAATATTTAAACGTACAACTGGGATATTTTGAGCAGTTATGTGGAGTTTCAGTGGAGTGGGCCTTCGGCCTATGATATGCCTAAAAAGTTTGAGGCATCACAAAGCCCTTAGTTTCTAGGTAAAATTGTCCACTTCTCTTTGCTGAACACCAGACACGGAGAAAGGTCACATGCTGTCACAAGATCTGACTAAGCCTAGATGGCACAATTTTCTACTTAATACATCCGTACTCCAGCGGCATTCAGACTTGGAGTCCCGCCCAACTTAGGGGGAGCGGGACGTACCAGGCTCTTCCATAAGCCAGAAATGAGGACCATGACACAGTGGGTGCAAGGTGCACTTGTAAACGGATAGTGCTCGAATCAATTCACTCATCATTGGCGGTTTTATAATTAGACACCTGTGAACATTATAAGATTTGCAGATAGCGGGCTCATCCGGACTCGGTGCCGCGTGAAAAAAAGTGGTAGTTGTGGTGGTGGTGGTGGTGGTAATGAAATCCAAGGGGAGAAATCAGCGGCATGTTGGCGGCCGTCAATGTGACAACAAGCATACTTCGGCTCTTTGGAACAGCATATTTATCCCTCGTTTTGGTGCCTGGTATAAGTGAACCAAGTTCTGTCAAAGACTAAGTTTTCAGCCACGTACAAGTGCAGGTTTCCGGGTCACTTCTGACCAACTCACTCTAGAGTCAGCAAAAAAGCGCAAAACATCCACCATTGCCCCATTTCCATTGTGCTTCTGCATAAACTGACACTCAGAACATTTGGATGGCAAAAGTCGATCGATATAGAAGCCTCAGCCGCACACGAATATATCACAACCCTTAAACAAGGCGAAAAACTTCTCAACGCAAACGCTTATTAACCCTGTTCTCACACTGCAGGTTTTCGACTACGTAGTTGGGTCCATGCACAGATTGGGAAAGATGAGAATGTAGAGTTCTACAAGCCAGATTACTTAGCACTCCATCACCCCAAATCCAAATTATTATAATAGTTACTCAACACCACCTCAAGGCATACCTATCTAGAGCAAAATCAATGTCATTCGCGTGTAAAATCCACCAGACTGCGCAACAGGAGGCAACAAGATGCCTCTACGGGCCTGCGATACCGAACGTTTACCGACGGAGCATCTGAAGTTTCACGATATGCTGCACCAAGGACTCGTAAAGTACCACACCCCCCGGCGCCGGGCAATTTGTAGCCTGGTTCAGTGCACTAGGAAGTATGAATGGGCGATGAAAAGGACCATTGCTCTGTAGCCAGAATACATGCTTGCAGACGACGCCTAATTGAGTCCCTCACGCGTTTTTCTTGCATTAGATTCCAGTGACGAAGTCATTAGTATCTCTTCTCGCACGGTGCACTATTCTCTTTGAGAAAACCAAAGCACAAAACAGAAAAATGGTTGACTTTGGCGGCGTAATTTTGATATCTTGAGAGTGCGGCAAAAATGCGGATGCCGAAATACTGAGACCGGAGTTTTCGAGGCCAAAACCAAGAATCCTTCGAGGTGAGTATGGGCTTGTGCTGGTAATGTCTTGTCCACGAAAGTAAGGTCATGGGGTAAATTTGGTCCACTGAAGTGAAAATTCTTGCGCCGTGCCTGAGCGTTAGTTAGGGATAAGGCGGCACTGAGGTTGACAGCGGATAAATGAGACTATTAATCGTGACTGGAATCACAGACCTCAGGGCGCCCAAAATAAATTGCTGAACGGCCTGGCGAAGTGTAACTCACCTGCCCAAATCTTAGTTGCAACCAGCCTCAATTTTAGTATCCGCATGGGGCCTCTGAAATCCTCAACTGCATATCTCATTGAGAGTATCAAAGATGACTCATACCCATCTATGACGCTGCCGTCAACATCTGACTACACTAATCAGCGCTGAACATCCGACCTTATGAAAAGTATATGTTACGTCTACAGCCCTGACAAGGTTCGGTCTGCGTGGCTAGAGGGTAATTTAGCGGCGCGTTAGCCGACTTGGCACACGCCTTATTCAGACCATAATCAAACATACTCTAACCTACCTGCAATTCCACATCAGCTTGGAGTCTACATCCCCCTCTTACATCAGGGGACGAAGAACATGTAATAAAATCGCCACAGAATCTTCACGTCTTCAGCAGTTACGAAAGCCGAGGTGTGCATATTTGCCGAGACAACATATACGTTTTCAGCTATGTCCGTCTTTGCAGCCGAATTTTGCACTTTCCAAAGCGATTGTCTTCGAGTGACCAATGCACAAAGTGCGGCAGCTCATATCTTCACCACCCAGAGTAAAAAACGTCAGCTATACTCCAATCCTTCTAAAGTCAACTGAGATCTGCGGTCGCGGGCATGTTCGGGACAGCGCATCCGTGGTTAATAAAGGCAGATTTGGATCCTCCCTATCTCTGCCACACGGGGGTTCCCGCGACTATTCGAACTCGGAAAAAACCTATTTTACAACTCCGCTAGCTGGCTTTTGTTACTAACGCGCCTAGGCTCCACTCATCATGGGGCGGTATTCAAAGCCACCCCAGGTATTACTCGCCAGAAGGAGCGTTCTCATTCAGCTGGCACCGGCAGATAATCACGATATCAGCATCGTAACTGTAATACCATTCCAAAGACACGCTAAATAACAAGGGTGAGCTTGGGCCAGGGATGCGAACCACACTGGCAACCTTCAGGGATATAGCACCAGAGTAGGGGCTGCATACCATGTCCAGAGAAGTGGAAGTGGTGTCCGCTACCGGCGCCTCCAATGAGTCCCCAGCCCCAGAACCTTGATCATGCGCATGAGCTAGAAACTTACCACTTTACGTAGTCGGAAGAAACCTATGAAATTTGTGAAACTCCGAGGTCCGGAAACAGTGTCGGACTCACAAACAAGGAAAATGGAAAGCTTAGTCTATTCGAAGAGCTGAGTGTAAAATCAAAAAGCATATTCCATCAATCTGTGTCCTTGAACTTTCGAGTGGTGAGTGGGTGGAAATTGGGTTGATGGTGTCTATTTGTTTAAATCGGCTTCCAGCAGGTAAGTGCATGTGACGGCAAAAAATTGGCCCATCTACAAATATTTTTGTGTTATCGCGGAAACGATGTCAGCTTCGACAGAAAAATCCTTACTTCATATTGGTGACCAGATAACACTGATTCTGGATGAAAATGGTGTCAAAGGTGCACTATGTGCCCCCGAGTTCGTTGTATATTGTGAGTTTTCATCATGTGCAGACAAATTAAAAAACATCTTGGCTTGATGACGCAAGTAAATGAAATGCCGATCGGAAATTTCACCTCCAGAAGTAATTTAAATTGGTCTTGTCCATGTTAAAGGGTGTCGATTTCTTGTTTGTTTGATGCAGCATTATGTGGCTTCCATAAACTTTAAGAAATCTCGAACGAAACCCGGCAGATCAGTCTATGATACAGTCCTATTGGCTAAGTTGAAAGTAACGTTTCCACAATTACCCTAATGCGCAGAAAGCTGCTGAAGACGAGCGACAGCTGAACAACCTGGAAAACTTGAAAGCCGTTGGTAGCGTTGTTCACTACGGAAGCATTATACAGGTGAGGAAATTTTACCAGTTTTCCTCTCGAAAGACGATTTTGTATAAACCTCATGGTAGCTCACACAGATTCATAAATGTCAGTTCAGATCTAGGTGGTGACCGAAACACTGCAAAAGTTATTCTCTCCCTGATGCTCGTTGACCTATGTTCCACGTAGTAGTCGATTATTGGTTATCCATCTAGCTCTTGTAATATTAGCACTGTTTAGATGATCATACAAATGAGAAATGTTCTTGAAGGCTAATTGCTTGTTGATCGGTAAATGGTTCGTGCTGGCTGAAAGCTCAAAGTGGTATCCAGTGTATCAACTGCGGGTGAATTGCCGATAAATTTGAAATTATAGGTAAACAAATAGACATTTTCTACCACAAAATTTGGTGCGTTGGAAAACCACTGGTTAGTTATTCAAATACCTCCCAAATCGGTCGTAATAACAAGCTGTGAGTATGACCTTACAAAACGTGAATTTGTATACATTTGACTTATGCAAAGGTAAATTGTGCATGAGGTCAAACATCAGTGATACAGCAATAATACTTCTTGTGCTTTACAGCTGGTAGACCTCAAGTCACGGGTCGTCCCACTTTCCTGACACCTATTGCTCCAATGATTTGGGTAGTGTACTTTTGACTGCACTATTGACGTTCGCCATAGATAAATAACCAGTTTTCTTGTTAACGTGTTTTCCTGGCCGATATTTTGGAAGATGAAGAGGGTGTCTATATTTTCTTTGTGCCAAGCTATTGGCATAGGAACTTCTGGCGAGCGCAAGGTGTACCGATCAGTATCTTCTGTGTCTGTATTTGTATTATTCCCTTCCAGATATGTTATTCTCTTGAACTTATTTTCACCTGATCCGTTGCGATAGATCCCATTATTCTGTGCATCAGTCGTACTAATCTTAATAAGGGATATTTATCGAGGCTGGACCGTACATTTCCTTGAAGATCTGTGGGGCGAGCAACTGTTCAAGTTAATTAGGACTGGTAAGCCAGACAAGTTTCTGAAGTGGTAAAGGGACGAAAAAGTTTTTGAAGAAGAGTTAGGGCAATCTATTTTGTTGGCAACTGCGATGGCATTTCGTTCTGCTGCCACTGCAGTAACGGAATTTGACACGGTTTTGAAACACTGAGGTAAAAGCCTAATTTCGTGCCAAAAGCGTCACTTGAGTATTCTTCTGAACCATTCTCTTCGTTGAATGTGCTTTCCCTAGCATCATCTGACTGGCTGATATATTTGTAAATGAAATTGAAGTTTGTTGTCTGAAGGTCCCCTAAACTTAGCGTCTGCACGCATTTCTAGCCGTTTGTCAACACAGAACTTTTCAGCACAAGAGGTGATTTTGTTCCCGGTCAGAGAGTTTCGATCGTCTTTGACAAATGCCACGATGACTTATTTGTTGTGCGGGCTCTGCTTTCGCTGAAAAAGGCCTAGCGTCCGCCGTGAAACACATTAAATGGAAAATTCTCTCAGTTCGGAAGTGATGGCGTGCCTACTAGAATCGGCTATACCCCATGGGTTTTCTAATCAGGCACAAGCTGAAGCACGTGCTTACAACCAAGATGACGCGGAAATGGCGCGGTATCAATTTGGAATTGGGCGCTTTTGTTTAGCTTTCCCCCATTATAACCCAGAAATGTTTTGCCAGTAAGGCATTGAATAAGAGGCCGTAATTTTGTTACAGCACACCTACACCAAAAATGTCATGGTAAATTTCGTTCACAAAGCTTTAAGTTAGCTTGTCATGTTTGCCGGAAACGTTTGATTTAAATAAGAACATGATGATAGCGTGAACAAGAACTGATTCCTGCAACTGACGGCTACCAGGTGTTAAAATAAGTCGAAAATGCTTATTGTCAACCATACAGCATGTAGCAAACAGTAAAATGCGCAACGTAAATCGCATACTTATACAAATTACAAAAACTGATTTCCGTGAATGTCTTCAAACCACCTGCACACTCGTTGGATTAATTATAGAGTAACAATTATACTACTCCCCTCCAAGCAAGAGGCCTTGACATTGCACTTAGTTAAGAGGACGGAATCAAGGAAGACAAAAGGCTTAGCAGTCCCTTGGTTGTCGGCATAGACTAGCATATCTTACCTCGCATCAGAATTGTGCTTTCGGATTAATGAAACTTCCTATTGGATTCACTCAAGTGAGTTCTGTAGAATAAAGTGTGACACAGTGGTAGAAGATCAACGTTTATGAGAATGCGAATTGGCAGTTTATAAGCAAAAAGGACGAAGAATGGACGTTTGCACAGTTGTGTAATTTGTATGCATTTTGTCAAAACAAACCGACGCCACCGCAGACGGAAATGATGGTGTTCAATATGATGGTCCGCCGGCCTAAAATAATGTAAGGCTAGTTTAAAAGCCCTTGAAATAGTGAAAAAGAAGGACACTTAATTTATGCCTAATAAAAAATTTTGAGAAAAGATCATTCGAAACCCGGTATGAACCTGACGACACAAAGATCTCTGAAACTGCTCAGTGGCAGTCGGGATCAAATAAATCCTTGAAAGAAAAATCGGAGGGTATCCTGATTCCTTTAACTTGAGTTGAAGTTTATCACAGCAATTAATTTTTTGCTAGGGTTCGGTGTTAGAGTATTTGGGGCGGAACTGGTGTTTGATCGACTGATGTTTTCATAAGTTTAACAAATAAACACGCTGACCCTATAGTTCTGGAGCTTACTGGTACTGGGTACAATGGGACGCAAAATTAAAGGCCCCAGTAATGGGAGTAAATTTGCCAGGTGATACACGTCCACAGACAAACAACTTCTACAATTAATTCTGGAAAGCATCAAGTATCCAATAATTTTAACTAACGTTGTATCACCTTTCTGACAAGTTATTCAAATATTGCCTCATAGTAAGAGAAACTTTTCAAGATGGGATGTGCAGTGAGCTGAAGTGACGTGAAAACAGCAATATGTGAGGAACCACAACTTGCATGAAATCTGAACAAAAAAGTCCAACACATTTAGTAAAGGCAAAATATTTGAGATGCGATGGGTATGATATCATCTTTCAACTTTCGATTATTTTAGTTCACGTGTAAACCACATAAGGTTTTTAAGTAACACTGCAGAAATATATTACTCCGGTGCAGTAATTGCATCACAGATAAGCCCTTGAACTCTAATCCCCAAAATAGACTGTATTTGGTTGTAAAAAGGGTGCTCCAGTTTTAACTAAGGAGTAACTAGGGAGTAACTTTTTTTTACAAAAATCAGATCAAATGCTTGAGATTTTTTAGATAAGTTTATATGGTTTTCCCAAATTTAGGTCCCTAGCCGAGTGGCGAACGGTAGCGTCTGCTCTTTCTTCTCGACTGTTCTATATGCAACCACCAAAACATCTTTGCATGAATGTAGCAGATTGAATAATTTTGATGTGAGCCATAAACACTGTAGAGAATTACTTGTCTAGAATTGAGCCACGGCTGCCAAAGAGGCTTTCATGAAATAAACGTTAAGTTTATCTCTCACTGGCAGAAACGGCGCTTTTTAATATTTTGTAGCTCTTTCGAGAAGTTCTATGTCGAGTCGTGTCCACCATCAAGCAAATGGTACAGAATTGTTGCCTTCATATCGGCCGAAGTGTTTTAAAGTTGGTAGAGAGACACCGCAAACCATACAGTAAAAGAGATGTAGGAAACAAGATGACAGTGACAACCGAAAACGCAACAAGCCTTTCTTCTCTCAAAATAAAACTCGCTGACGGGCACAGATGATGGACTACGTAAACGATCTTTCCAAGCAACCGAAAACGTTTCCTTTCGTTTAAAAATCCGCGTGGTGAGATCGACTTAGTTTTGGTGAGTAAATTGCCATTGGCATAATTCTCAAAAGACATTCAGTCTACATGACTCTTTGCAGTAGCAAAAAATTTAGGCTAAGCTTTCTACATAAAGTAAAAGAAACCTCTTCGGAAGAGAAATGCACTTTTTTTACCGCTGTCAACTTCAGCTGCACTGTACTAAACATTCAGACTCAATTGTTCTTTTACTCCTTTACGGTATCTGTGTTGCTTGTGTTAGTGCTGAACAGACCATTTCTCTGATCCTTCGATGGACGTTTTTTGTATCTATTGTACTCCACGAGGATTTAAAAACATCAGTTATTAAAAAGAGCAATATACGTCCCATGGATCTTCAAACTTTATTTCTGATTCCCTGAAAGTTTGGTGTCTTTCCTCACTCCTGGGTTGTAGTGCTATCTGCATATTTTCGTATATATCAGACAAACACGAAAGGGTTCATGTAAGGTTGTTGGCGAAGGTCTATTGCATTGAGGCAATCACTAGTTTTGCTTGAAACATAATCATATTGTCTAAATGTTCGTTCGGCACGTTTACAACCTTTGATTTTGTTGCGTGCTTAATACCTTAGAGTAACTTTACCCAAGTGGCAAACATATATATCGGAAGCTTTTGTCGCCGCAAAAACATAGGATAATATGTGGTGTGTGGTTTTATGAAACATCGAAGGACGAAAGTTTATGCTGGACCTTAGGTGGCGTACGTAATGAGGTTTTTTCTTAGTGCTCAAGCAAAGCAAAAACATGACCATGTTTCAGCCTTGCACTTTTCGGCTTTTTGTGGCTGGTACCAGCAATGTGGCTACGCTGACTTTCGCTATAACATCATCTGTCATGTAAGCAAACAGAAAAGTGAGTGTTTGGACACTGCCACGAACCTAGGTAGATAATTCAAAGCGTTTGAAAAACTAAGTCCTTCTTTGAGGCCTGCACACTACTCTCATATTAGTTGCCACTCTGGGAAGGATAATAGTGATGACATATTGTGTTCAACACATATGAAATTTCATCATGAATGATTTTGTACTCCCCAATATTCTTTGGGATACATGATAACAGTTTCTGAATAATGTGCCTTATTCACTACTAAAAGTTAGTGGAAAGAAATTAGGCTAACAGAATCCTCCTGATGAACCTGGTGAAACTTACCCTCTGAAAAACCTTTTCTCAGAATGATTTCCAAGCAAACTCTATGGTACTAATTTTTTCATGGGTCTTGGTTTTGCTGATTCTGTGCTTATGCTACTGGTCGTCTAGTATATTAGCTCGAAACCAATGTTTAGGATGCTAAGTAAGCTGTGAGTTTTAATTTGTGATTATGTCGATAGGTAATTTGCGCATAGTCCGAGGGCAGTTATGTTCGATATTTTTGTCATGTATTTTATCTACAACCAAATTTTATAATCACGTTATAGTTGCTACACCTCGAGTCAAATAGGATGGTTACGTTTAAAAAAAAGTACCCGGCTTTTTTGGAGAGATCTGCTCTACGCGTGCAACTTGAAGAGGACGGCAGCGAAGGCTCGTGGCTTTGTATTCAACCTTTGTATAAACACAGGCAGGCGGGAGATCCAGTGAGTCTTGTCATTACTAATAGCAACGATTTTATAGGTGAGCTTATAAGGGGTGTAGTCATCCCTTATATTTGTTATAGAAACCAGGACCTGCGCTTTTCCGTCTTCTTATTCCCTTTGTTACGTGGCTACGACTGCCCTGCAGTCAACCAGCGGGGCTTTTATAATCGTGTCACTCTGTGTTTGTCAGCAGTGGAGTTAGGTCACCAACAGGCCATAAAGTACTTTCTGAAAGGACATAGGGACATATGTATGGTGGAAAAGCACAGATGATGTCACGATACCACATGCATCGATATTATCATGGAAGACGTGCAGAGACTGAAAACAAGGTGTTTGCTTTTGAAAGAGTCAAAAGGTTTACAGAATTCAAGGTTGTTTTTATGGAGCAGTCTATTGAAGGCAAACTTAACTTTCTAAAAATCGTATTGGGATTTTTAAATTCTAAATATAAATTATGAACTTGAAATTCAGATCCCAGAAAACAACATTTTGGAAAAAGCGTATTATTCTTGGAAGACAAGCAGTAAGAAACCTACTGATGATACAACCGAATACGGGGTAATTTCCCTATTTCATCAGAATTCGATATACTTTGAAAATGTCATGGACACTGCTGGTGAACGTGACACTTATGTTGATATATAGACGGGTGGTCTTATAATCAATTCCATCGCTCTGAACGAAATTACGGCACCTGGCGACGATAGTGAATAGAATGCCATACCACACTTCACATGGTGGTGGTGCTCAAACCTAATGAGTGCTTCAGTACGCATTATCTTATGGATTAATGGCTCAGCCTGTAAAATTCATCTATAAACAACCTTTGAAAGCTGCGGCTTCTTAACAACCAGCTCCTAAATAATTCCCATTCTATTTATATCTGCTGCATCCAGATTTATGATTCTAGATTTATGATTTCAGATTTATGATTCTATGGCCATAAACTACCCCCCTCTTTACGAAAATTTATCCGTTCAACTCTTTAAAGTGACAGCCAATGCTGTATCAATATGATTTAAGCAAAAACACATCCCACCACTGTGATCAGAAGTAACAATGAGGGATGTGTTATGGTATTTGCATGGTATAGGCAGCGTCACTTGACAGCTGAAAAGCATTCGCAAGACATTCTCCATTGGGTATGAAAGCATGACGCTTTTAGTATATAATTTAATCCTCCCCTAATAACATGCATGACGCATCTCGAGCCAGTCTAGCTTGTAAACGGTGTAGAAATGAGCCACCGGTCCTTGACTCAGGGGTGCTACTTCTGTGCTCATTGTTGCAGCCTGTGGCCCAATGAAAGTCGATAGTGAAAAAATATAGTTCAAAATCAAATATCACATTCTTTTCCTGCTTTCAGGTAGTCGCCGGCGATCGCGTTCTATTAACATCAGTGCGAACTGGGCATGCTCTAAATTTAAGCATAGTTCGCCAACCAAACCAAGAATACCAAGTGGAAGTGAACGGAATGCTCATGTCAAATGTTGGCTGGCACGCTATGCTTTATTTGAACTACAGCCAGAACATGCAAGATGTCCTCAAAGGGGTAAGAGAGTAACACCGTCCCAATCCCACAAAATATTTTCATCACCTTCAACTTATCTGAAATGCTCCTCTGGTTTCTTACTTGTTTATCAAGTTAAATATGTGCTAAGATGCCATTTGTGTTTTTCTCAGGGCGATGTTATTCGGATGTTCCATGCAGAGACTGAACGATTTCTCACCTGCGATGAATATCAGGGTGAAGCGCAAGTATTTCTACGTACCACATATCGGATTGCGACCAAGACTGCTACAAGTTCAAAGGCCCTGTGGGAGGTTGAGGTAGGCTATTCCATTCAATAAATTTGACCAAAATGGCTGTTTGTGATTCTGAACGCTACGGCCGGCCCACTAAATAATTTCTAGTCCGACTGAAAAGTATTACGGCTGCATCAACATGGAGACAGGGACGGTCAGTCTTGAACGTTTAGACTATGGACACGTTGTTGGAGCCTTATTTTCCGCTGTATGGACCTGTAGAGTGACTAGATAAAGAATGACTTTGAGGGTATAATCATTCTCTTAATGCGTACTGAAACTCCGAAGCCTGTAGCACCAATCATGTCTTCCAAACATTTGAAATGATAGATACCACTAACCTAAATTTTGGAAATGCAACACCCTCATTTCTTGACAGATAACTTATGTAGGCGAACATCAGTTAACTGGAAAAAGAGTTCACCCACAGCTGTTCTTCCGCAATTTAACCTACACTAAAATACAAGGAGCTATTTTTATGGCAAGTACTAACGGGTCCTGCGTGGCAGCGGTTAGCTATCTTTGTACACCTACAAGTACATCAGGAAGATGGAATAGCAGATGCTCCATAAATCCGTAGTCACGGTTGATATTCGTGTTTCTAATTATTAGCCGCCTTCGTTGATTGTTTCTTTCCTAACTTTCCCTCTAAAATTTCATTCCCGAACCAAGACAGTAGAATTTAATGCAGTGATTTCTGGTGGGAAACACGCGGAAAATGCTCACATTACATCAACCTTATTCAATAGCCATTCTAACGTGGACAAACGTTTCCCTGTGGACGAATTCCGTACACATTTAACTCAGAGTAGTACGGTACAACAGCACAAGTACATGTCCAAACGTGTGCTTCATGACCGACCTTTCTAGAAGCCTCTACCTTTCTGATAATACATTAAGTCCTATGACTAAACAGAAGGCATGTTTGCGGTATTTGTGAAACTCCAAATAAGATGTCATAATCTGTCATACTGGATTTTACCAGATGAGTCGTGTCAGTATATTCTCAACGATAGTATTTCGTCGATCTATCTGACAGACTGGATCTGTTCCAAAACCAAGTGCACCCACCCCCATACATCCTGGCAGGAGCCAGCATTACCAGCATGAACATAATTCTCACCATTTGCAGCGCGAAACTTTCTCCGTGGACAATCATTGTGAGTTGCTTCTGAGTATAAAACAAACAACAAAATAAAGAGCCCTCAGGCGAAATGCGAGAATAGGTAAGCAAGTTACTGGAAGAGACTATACACAATGGAACTAGGATGAGCCGACCAGTTGGAGGGTGAGGCTCACTACTGAATTTGGCAAGCTGTCATTCCGGTGAATGTGGTCAATCATTGATATCGTCCTAATATTGTCCTCAACCGGCAAGCAACTGTAGAATAATCTTGTTAAGTGGTCTAATGAACGAATTCGTTGCTGAAAAACATGTCTCATTAACGAATCATCATTCTTTCATCTTCGGCTTTGCTGGGGTTTTGCGACCGCTTTCAAGGGATGTTTCATGCTCTTGACACTCTGTACACTTAACTCAGTTGCTAAGTATAAAATCCACCTGCCTATTTTTAGACACCTCGTGCATTTGAGTTGCATTTCTGCTCGACGTACCTGCTAGCCACACAGAAACCAGTTGCACGACATGGCATTAATGGATTAACGGAGCGTTTTGTATGTGCTGTTTCTGGAAATAGAATTTTTTCAGGAGCGGAAATGGACTGATCGCGCACAGGCCCTACGAACGATGCCTCTGACTAAAACTCTGACATTTACTCCACCTAAATTGGTAGAGTACTGCGAACATGGAGCGACCGTTGCTGATCCCGGAAGCTACTTCTTCTGCAACGAGAATATGGGGATTCAGACCTTACCTCAGTTTATGAACCTTCAAGCGCTTTCAAGCTAAATATCGCCTTGTAAGGAATCCTGGGCATGATATCGAAACATAACCATGCACCTGGGAGTCCCCAGTACTCCTTTCTAAAATATTCCAAATGACACTGTAGAGGACAAGAAACAATGGAAACGTTACCAGTTAAATGTTTCTCCGAATTTGCATCCAAGCACAAATAGAACACACAAAGGGTAAGGTTCATTAGGTAGGACTATAGCTCTTGACCTCTAGCTTGTCGTGCTTGTTCACAGTTTGGAGTTGTCTCCAGGGCCTTCTCTTCGTGGACGCCTGGGTCCGTATCAAATGTCTTACGTATTCAGGCACCCTCCATTAATTAACATCTGCCTCAGGCTCTATTGCGGTGAATTCTGAGCATTTGACTGGGTTCCCGATGATCTCATCCAACGTAAAATTGAAGGCGGAAATTCGGTCTACCTTGCAAATCATCAGCTTTTGGGAGTACTTTAGTCGTTTGTTCCAGTACCCTAGCTCTGTGCTCTAAATGAGCGCAAATGGTTTGAAAAAATATCTAGCAATTTAATGACACGGGTATTGAAGTAAAGCGTTTCACATCGCATCCCGGAATTTTGTCTGCAGGAAAAAACCTAACCGCATGTGAAGTCCAACAAATGAGCTTCTTCGCTTATATGTAGGTTATATATCCGTCTAATAGCTACCTAGAACCGCCATATAACCATTTTTGTGGTTAACCGCTTTTGTATGCTATATAGCTAACCGTTAGCCGTCTAATAAACGTGTTTGCCGCTTATGGAACGGTTTTGTGACCGTCATTCAACCGCATTTTGACGCCAAATAACGGTGAAATAACCACAGTATAACCATTCTTCGCTGCTATTAGACTGTTATTTAACCACACAAACCGTGAAGTCATCATCGTGGACATGCAGTCGCTGGGCACAGGACCTACAATCCAGAGTGAGGCACTCGAAGTTGTGGAGCGTTTTACGTCCCTTCGAAGTTGTATTACTTCTAGTTGTAGTGCGATGGATGAGATCAATGAACGAATCTGCAAGGCCGGGGTCATTTTTGCCAATTTGGCGTCAAAGCAGTATATCCCTGAATCTAAAGGGACTTGTGTTTCAGGTTACCGGGCGAACTGCTTTGTTGTATGGCTATGAGCCCGGCCTGTTTGAGCAGTGAAACCGAGACGTCTTCAGGTGTTTGACAATCATCTCAGGACCGTAGCTCGTGCGGGTTAGTGTCGGAGAATTCGTAACGAGGCGATTAGAAAGCGAGTTTTTGATTGTGCAACTTAAACCTCCGTTGAAGTGTCTGTCCGGCACGAGAAGCTGCGTTGTTTAGGCTACGTATTGCGTATGTGGAACTATCTTTTGCCGAAGGGAGTGCTGTTTTCCGTGCCCGATTCAGAGTGGCGGAAGCAGAGAGGTTGCTAACCTTTGATCTGGCAGAGGTGTATGAAAGAGACTACAAAACGTTTGGGTACTGTTGGTGCTACTAGTTTTCCAGGATGGCGACCGCGTGACCCCCACCGGTCTTGGTTGGAGACGCTGCAAGTTACGGCTGCTAATCGATGTCAATAGTGTCCTTGTTGTCAGTTTCTATCCAGCTGCCTCAGTGAGTGTCTGGAGATGCAGGCACCTCGGAATGATTTAAGTAATGTAGCACTAAGTCCACCTTTATTCCTTTCTTCACAATGACTTTCAAATAAGTCATGGTAGTATGGCTGCGAAGCATTAGTGTTGAACACTGATGTCAAGCTGTCCATTATGGTGTGATGATGATGATGATGATTATGGTGATGATTATTCAGAGTACGTGGTTAATTCAACCACCAGTAACAACGAATTGGGTATCTTGGATTTCACCTGATTTTAGGTGCCGATGAGATCATTGCCGGCTCGGAAGAATCCGCACCTTTGTCCACTCCATTGAATCGCAGTAGCTTCTGTCGCAGTCTATCTGGTAGCCGGTTTCCTGGGCAATGTCCAGAACAGTCCGAAGAGAGGCTCAGTGGGTGTCGCAAACATATCACCCAACCAACATGATCATTAAACACCAATACATAAATGCCACATTCCTAGCATTACAAAGCTAATTGCATGACAGCATTGTGATTCTGTTTCGCTGCTCCGTCTGCTCGAGCTCAGTGCAATGCAGGCAGGATAATGTAGAGATAGAGCACAATCAGTGTACACCGCAACCACCGTGGACTTGTCACTGACCGCCGATGTCACAATCGGACGGTGCCTGTTGGAATATTTCCCATGTCCTTTGTTGGATATGACGACCTAGATGATCTCGTGTGTGATATAGGTGCGCCAATTTTCCTTATCCAGTGCTTCCTGGACTAGTTCGTGTCTAGACTTGTTAAGACAAGCAGCTTAACCCTGGTGGGTCTTGCGCTCTGGTGATGTAAACAAGAGGCTAACATTTCGGTCAGGTTAAATGACGATATCGAGGGCAAGTATGCAGTCGATTTTCGATGCCACTGTGGCAGTTAAACTGACTTACCTATAGATTGATGGTGTTTTCCTAACATAACATAGGTGGTCACTTATTCAGGCTGGATGACTCATAAAAAGCTTACATGTTTATACCCATGTTCCAAATAAGCTGGCAATGGACCTCGAATCGCGCCAAACACGAATGTTGTTTAGGCTGTACTCAACTTCCAAGACCAAACACATTACTTCGTATCCAACCGGGAAATGTGTATAAAATATCAGTGTTGTTTTGGCTGTTTAAAGCAACACTAGTTTTCTCAACAGTCAATCAGAAACATAGCCTAAAGAATTATCTACCCATATCACTGTTACCTACTCACTTGAGAGAAACTTTGATTGAATACTACTTGCGAACGTCCTCTGTAGAGACTTGGCAGGTAAAGACTACCACGTCCTGAACACTGCGCTCACACACTGATATTCCTGTAGGAATCTAGTTTTAGTTGAGTATAGCTAAGTATAGCTAAGGTCGGATCTATAACAGACTGTGGGTCGTGGATAGCGGTTTAACACGGGTCGTTTTGTTGGAGGCTTATTGGTATAACTTTGAGCACCGTTGGCAACGTAACCATGTATAATCAGCAGTCTCAGCATATTCCAAGACAGAAACTTGATAATCTAAAGTAGAAAGTTAGCCCGTACGTATCAAGATGTGTTTTGTATTGCTAGGAGTTCGAAAAGGTGCAGCGGAAAAGTAGTGTCCATTGAGATTGGTGTTCAACCGGATAAAATAGTAAACCTACATATTCATGAAGATAAAACTAAACTTCAGTCCAAGGACTAAGATGATGAACTTTGCTTTCGTGACTCCTGATCTAAATTCGTCCTCGTGTGGAAATTGCAGGCAATCACGACACTAAAGATTGAGAAACATGGTATCCACACACTGAAGTCCAACTCTAGAAAATTCATGTCAGTGAAATCCACGCATCCACCTGAGCACTTCCGTGGAAGCTCTCCGAAAATCTTCCACTTCATAATCTTTATTGTGATAGGATTGTGATACAAAGCGGTTTAGCCCAAAATTGACACACGTTTCGAATAAGCTCAGATGACTGACTCCCCTGCTTTCAAGCACGGTAGTCTGTCCGATTAACTATCCCTCCATGGAATGCAGTTTAATACTGTGGAGCGGCTGACTTTGACAAGGGACCGGTGGTTACCTGTCTTAAGTTTTCTCTTTTATCAGCACATTTTAGCTGTGAGATAACCGGTACAGTATCAACGCCTCCTCGCACTTAGTAACCGTTCATGTAGTATATGAAACTTGTCTAGGAAGAGTGGTGTGTTCCGAGTAATAGACTTTCTGAAAGTCTATTTATTGAGATATGTTTAAGATCATCCTTGTGACTGGGTGGCTGGGCACAACAAACACTAGTATTATGCCTCTTTTCGGATGAAGACTTGTCTGATAATATCGAATCGCTTTCGCTTTTCACAGGTCATATTAGAGCCGCAGTAATGCACTATCAACCCTATAATCGCCGTTAAGAACTATCGGATTCTTATACTTGGCTTTCATCCAACCAGGAGTGAAATGATGTTACACCAACGGTTAAATGGATGCATGATTCCAAAACAGAATCCCAAGATCCAAATAAAAACTTTAACTAAAAGCACGAGAAAAATTAACTAATTTAAACGTACTGATATACTCCAGGATGTTCATAGGTTAAACAGCCTAATCTGAAGTACGTTGCAGCAATATTCCACAAAGTGTAAGGTCATGCTTGTGGACGTGCAGTCACTGAACACGCCACTTACAATCCAGGGAGAGGTACTGGAAGTTGTGGAGCGTTTTACGTATCTTGGAAGTTGTATTAGTTCTGACTGTAGTGTGACAGATGAGGTGAATGCACGAATCTGCAAGGCTTGGGCCGCGTTTGCTAACCTGAGACACCTATGGCGTCAGAATGGTTTATCCCTGAATCTGAAGGGACGTGTGTATCAAGCTACAGTACGGGCTGTTTTGTTGTAAGGCTATGAGACCTGGCCTATTCGAGCAGCGGAACTGAGACGTCTTCAGGTGTTCGACTATCGTTGTCTCAGAACCATAGCTCGTGTGGGTAGGTGCCGGCGAATCCGTAGCCAAGCAGCCAAAAAGCGTGTTTTCGGTTGTGTAACGGGTACTTCCATTGAAGAATGTGTCTAGCAGCAGAAGCTGCGTTGGTTGGGACATGTTTTACGCATGCCGAACCATCGTTTGCCGAAGAGAGTACTGTTTTCCATGCCCAATTCGGAATAGCGTAAACAGAGAGGTGGCCAACCCATGACCTGGCATAGGAGTATGAAGGGGATCACGAAACGCTTGGGGGCTGTCGGTGCTACTCGCCTTCCAGGATGGGGACCGCGTGATCCTCACTGTGCCTGGTTGGAGACACTACAAGATATGGCTGCCAACCGATGTGAGTGGCGTTCTTGTTGTCAGTTTCTGTCCAGGTTGCCGGAGTGAATGTCTGGAGGTGTAGGCACCTCGGAATGATTGTGTTAAGCTAGCACTAAGTCCCTCCCCCATCCACCTTTATTCTTTTCTTTACAATAAGGCTTTCAAATAAGTCATGGTTGTACGGCAGTAAAGCATTGGTGCTGAACACTGAATGCTGGCTGTCGTTGATGATGATGATGAATATTCTCAACGAATATTGCAACTAAACCGTTCACTCTAATGAGACGGAATCCGCTTCCGCCCGTTATTCAAATTTTCTAAACATTGTGCAAACCGATGCAATTTTGCTGCAGTGGTCAACAAATTGAGCCGTTCTGTAATATTTCCAGATGCTGAACTACATATGGGTTTTGTGTTTCTAAATGTAAGAGTTTCAAACTACTCATGCTTTCGTCATAAAGAACAAGACATTGTTGCCAATGAACAACCACTTGGTCCATATCATGTTAGTCTGTCTATCGGCTGTATCTCAGTGACCTACAGAGTGTGCATAAAGTTTACTTCAGGCTTAATTTGCTGCATTAACAATGGCAAGGCCAACCACTCCAGCCTGAATATTTCCTATTTCGTGTTAAATTATCCCACCTATACATTTCTCTCAGGTAATTCACCGTGATATGATGCGCACTGAAGCCGGTCGCTGGAACAGTTTATACCGTCTGAAGCACATAGCGACTGGTTTGTATCTATGCGCTAAAGTAAGTTTATTATGGTTGACTGTATCTATTTTCATGCGCTATTCTACAAACGACCTTGAAACAAACTTGGTCTGTGTATTTTCATATTTTTACTGCACCTTCTTTACAAAAGTTTACTGAACAGCCAGTTTCTGCGTCATCATCCCACGAATCCGAAGACCATTGCAATTTTTATTTGTCCGTCACATCCAAACCGACGCTGAGCACTATCTTTGAGCTGGAATCGACGACTCACATGGAAAGTTTGGAGGACTTTATTCCAAGGGGATCCTTTGTTCGGATATTTCACCCAGAATCCGGAACTTGGGTCAAGTCAACTAACATTGCGATTGATGCCGATGCAGACAGGCCAATCATGCATAAGGTACATCTCAATACACTCGTCGCTTTCGAACCCCGACGTGGTTTAAAAAATATTCCGTCATCGTATTTTCTGCTTATAATGCAGTCACTGCAGCTTACTGTATGAAATTAATTAAAATTGCGGCCTTCATAAGAAACCAGAGCAATCGCCACTATGTACAAAGCTGGTACTCAATATCTAGTAGGCTCAATCACCTGCACTCATGTTCTAAAGCAATATCATTCATTATCGTAGTATCTGTAGAACATAGCTTCAGCAGAGGCGATCAGCCTTGGTTCCGACCATGACGCTTAACCTCGTGGTGCATTCTCTAATTGCCTGGTGGAAACAATGAACACAAGAATCAAGGGGATGTTCCTTCTTCTTAAAAAGTATGACGGCAGAGGTGAAAACACCATTAAAAATGCTTGAAAATTTAGATTGGAGTAAGTGCCCTGTTATCAAACCACATCACAATAAAGAAAGACAAACTCAGCCCCCAGAAAACGCGCACAATGACTAGCTACCTATGGATAATTGCGTGTTCGACAGAAGTGCTCACGTTAGCTTATTGAGTCCGTCCGCAAACAAATCTTTAGAACTTTTTTAAAAATGTCAACATGTCTGTTATAAAAATGCATGCCATCGAGCTATCTCAGTTGTAACCCAAGATTAGTGGCTAAAGCTGTTTCTCCGCTGCTAACATCATAGAAGAAGCCGCAACACATAAGAACCACGCTACAATTGGCATGTGGTTTTAGCTACCGTTGGAAGACTCCAGGTTCAAACCATTTCAGGTGAGAAGCAGCTAGTTAGTAATGCACATTAAAGCTCAGCACTAAAAATCATTTTCTATGCTCACACCCAGCTGGGTTGCCTCTCTCAAAAAGAGGATAAAGAAGCGTTTTCACTGGTGCCTGTATCAGCCGAGACCGTGCGCGAATTGGACTTTGCAAGCGATGCGATCAAACAGCTTGCAGGGATTGCAGATGCCTTCGAAGACGGAACATTTTCAAGTGAGCAAAAAGGGTAAGTAAAACTAGCGCTTTTTCACTTGACCATATATTCTTTATCGGCCTGTTTAGTGAGGGTGACGTCATGTCTGTTCGATAATGGGTTTTGATTTCTTTTCTAGGACATTGGTTTCACTACTAACGGAATTAATTCGCTTCATGTTGGATGGAGTGGAACCTCATCACACAAATTTATACATGCTGTCTAACGAAGGCGCTCCTGTACGTGAACGGCAGAAACTTATTAGAGAACAAAGCATTATAAAGCAGGTAAGATCTGAATAAAAACAATTGTTAACCAGTGGCAATTTACCTGATCTTCTAGTCATCGGGGACTTGATTAAAAAAGATAACAGTGTATCGTGCTTCGTTACTCGACAACGGGCTTCACAATCCTCACCCATGAAAACAAAAAAAGGTGCAATGAGATTTCACATCGAAGACGTACAAGAGAAGACGTACAAGAGATGGATGCCTATACTGCTCCTCTGACTCTACCCAAGATTTATGACCCCCCTCGAAGTTGTCACTCACGTTACTTCTAACTAGGATCGCTCATGATGTTTTAACTAGAGATAAACTATATTGGCAGGACGAAATGAGCATGTAGACGGACTAAAGTAGCCGACAAGGGTTGCATCGTGACGCATGAGTACGCTGTGCCTTAAACTGAACTGTCACACGCTGGATAGTTGTATAATTTTGGGTATAGGAATAAAGTGAACTGTGGTTGATCATCAATACAGTAACGAAAGCGATAAACCTAGCTTAAACATAAAACATAAGAGCACAGCTGCTCCAAATTCTGTTGCTCGGGACAACGGGCTCTTCCACACCAGTCTACACGAATGTCGTTAGGACAAGCAAGTACTTACTCTTCCAGGTACAAAAGGCTCCTCAGTAGCACTCCGCACCATGTGGTTGTTCTATCTACTTTCATTTCAGAATTTACCGGTTTCTTTCAGTGGATCTTTAGCTGGTCTACATCCGCTGCTTATTTGTTTTTAATTTGATCCATTTACTGATGACGAAAAACATTTTGTGTGCACCAAAATAACTATGTTTAAGAGAGAAATCTTCACTTGTTGATTACATTCCTTGAAGTTTACCACCCACACAAAACTATCCATCCTGTGGTCCGCGCACAGCAAGGCGTTTCAGGCTCCGCCTGTCTTCCTCATGTATCTCCATGGCACAGCAGCAAAAAAATTCGCTCCAAGACCTTCAAATGAACTACCAAGTATGCCTGTGAAATGGGATTTCAAGAAGTGCGATTCATATACTTTGTGGTTTATTCAATGGTGTAGAGGGTTTCAAATAAGTATATTTGTTCGCTTTCCAAACTCACCCTACTACTTCCTCATTGCAACTAGATTTTTGAGTTGTTGGCGATCTTTAGAAATATAGCACGGATTTAGCTGAGATAAACTGCCATCTGGTACAGAAACATCGCTTTGAAAACACGTTTTCCATCATTGGGTACGGAAAAACCTAAGGAACCTCATGCATATCAAAGGTGATTGCTATAACCAAGCGAAGGAACACCAGGAGTTTGTGTGAGTCTGTCAATTATATGCGAGAGAAACCCCAAGGTTCTCGTAGGGTCGAGCGTGAAATTAGTCACGCGGTTATAAAAGCCATCTCTCGACTAAACCGGACCGATTTGCCCTGATGTGTCTTCTATACTTAATGTTGACTTATTTCCCAAACATGTTGGACACGTGATGGTTAAAACTTCTCGATACCCGAAAAGGTTTACTGAACTTCAGAAGAACACGCATCTTCAAGAGAGTTAAATAGCCAGTACTCACCTCTGGTGATTCAATCAAAGTACATCTCACTTTTTGACATCTAATAGTCACCAGCCCAGCCGGCTTAAACAGTGTTCATCGATGCAGTTTGGGTGATTTCACTTGTAACGATACTAGTATGTGAGGTATGCAAGCATCCGATGGTTAGCGAATATTTCTCCCAAGTTACTGCCAGCGGTTGTAGGAGTTCTTGCCTTCGATTCTCCCAAGGACCCGCTTTCGAACAGCCACAAAGCTGAAAGTCCCTCTTATGTAGCCTACGCGAACTCAGTGTATGTTAGGACAAACGTGTTGTATCCTGGGGACGTCGTGACGTCATCTTGCTATCCATCGTTCTCCTAGGTGAAATTGTGTTAAGAGAGCTGTAGTTTGTTGGAAGCATCTCAAGGGGTTTCAGCTGTCATCCTATGACTGAGCTGCAGTTCTTAGGACCAAGCTGAAGAGAAAATCTGGTATGGTTTTTATTTATGAATGAGTGGCTTGCACTTTGGCTAGTTTTCGTGTACCCTCGCACGTTAGCGCTCACGCTGTGCAGTCTTTTTTGGATTCTTCACCGAACAATGCAAGTACGAGCTATCGAAAACCCTCAGTCGCGAGTCACGAATAATCTTAAGGTTTATCGGAGAGTGGTGCTCGTGTAATATCATACTATCTGATTAATCATGTTACCCAAAATGAAATGTTATTCGACGTGTTAAAAATGAGAAGTGGAAAACTGATGAACATAATTCATTTAGAAGTACAGATATGTGAGAAATTCAAAAATGGAAGACACTGCATCCCGAAGGGACACCTCAACAACTGAGTCACTATGAACGACGCCTCGAAGTTGACTTTTTCTTTTGATTGCTTGTACTGAGAAATTTGGGAACAACACTTTAGATGGTATAGTCGTATTAGGCCCATAATGTGATACCGCAATATCTGCATGGCGGAGGGCTTTGTCCCGCGAATTCAGAGCGATAAAGAATGAAGTGGCAGAACGCAATGATGGAAACTACGAAAAGTTCGATTTTTGGCGGTATTTTACGCTCTCCAAGAAGCATTCACATGGTCTCCTAATGCCTGCTTGGAGATGCTAGCCGGGTTCGCTGGAGTGACTGCATTCAGTGTCCATCCAGACTGTCCTATTGAGTGTTTAAATGTGATGGGATAGCTCTACTCACCTATGCTTATTTCACTTTATCCTTTTCCTCATCGTAGAGCTTCACTTAAATAAACCCACTCAACAACACCAATTCCTCGCACGCGTCTTTTTGTCAATGAAATTGACGTAACTTTCCATTCGAGAATTTTGGAAGCGTGGCCTTCTCTACATCAGTTTAAACTAATTCCCTCATGACACCTGGACATTGTCAACATCCGAACCATCTTGAAAACTAAGCAAAAGGCACAATAAAGATAATGACACTTTTGGCTGCAAATCCACATGGACGCAAGTGCGGTGGACTAATGTATTCATGCTGGCAGTTTCTGTGGTAGTTTCGCCACTGGACAGCTTCCCTGGCTAGCGAGGAGTCACCAGTCCGGGTTCCGATCCTATCGTCAGTCCCGTTCTGCTCATAGGAGGGCGGCTCACGGATTACATGAACATATGTACCGAATTCCCTTAGGCGACGAATTTATTTTGACGCCATTTGGAAAACTACCTGATGCCGTTGCTTTCAATAATAGAGGGAAGCAAAAAATTTGGTGACTGTTTGCTCAATATAAGCATAATATTGGGATTACGTTTTATGACTCCAGAAGCTCTATATAGAGTCATTTTGTGGCAGCACCGGAATTTAGGAATTCATATTACTGGAAGCAAAGCTAACGAGCTTTAAGCTATCCCGCATTCCTATAAATCTGTTATTGCAAACTAAACCGCCTGACTCACATTTTCTGCAGGTATTCCGCATCCTCAGTTCTGCTGCATTCAATTCCCTTGACCAGTCGGAGGCTAGACCTATGGGTGAACCACTCAATCCGTTCTCTGAGCTTATATCCGAGAGTCCAGATGACTGGGAAGCCACTGCATCTATTCCAGGACTGCAATTACACGAGCTGCGGCAAATTGGATCACTTTGTTACACTTTTCTAAAAGTTGCTCAGAAGGACTACCGTAAAAACCAGGTGAGCTGTGTGCTATGGCAGCTAACAAAACATTGACTCATTCAATTTTATTATCAGGGCACAACTGCATCTCAATACAAAAGCAACTTCATGTCGCTGCATCCAAGTAAAACGATCTTCTTTGATGGATTATTTCCAGTTAAGCCTCGAATAACTTCGCTTGCTAGAACAAAGTGCTGCTTAGTAGTTCATACGCACAACGGTCCTTTGGTGGTGGCTGTATATAGGTTCACGTCAGTATACACAAAGCTGACCAAAGCTGCACCTGTCAATCACGCTGATATTTTTAGTTCTTGTGAAAGGATTCAAAATTGTCGTTGAAAAATGGCCGCATACGTTCTCATACTACCTGAAGCTTACGAAACCGATGTCACTATGTTCATCTATCAAGGCAGTACTTACCTGCTACGGAAAATTGAAAGACCTTATGTTCGGTAGACAACACAGAATCAAACCAGTAGTTAAAAAATACTGACCCATTGTTTTCAAGACATCAGCACTTACAAGGCAAAGCAGATAGGACCCAAAGAGTCAAGAGACCATCCGATCTTGAATAGTCTTGAATATTCTCTGCAGACGTCAAATGTTCAGAGCCATATGTGATACCAGAGTGTGGGATCAAGCCGGTCAGCCGTTTTTGTAAGGGCTCATTGATTCATCAAGAACACCTGAATAAATGACTGACTAAGTGGTAAGTGAACTTGCTTTTATGCAAATTAGGCTGTTCAGTGAACAGCATCCGGAAGTAATCATTCTCAACTTGATTTATGCAACAGGTTATTCTGAAGCATTTGGTGTTTAGGTTGACAGAAACGTGTTGCCGCTGATGTCATTGGTGCACGCTAAATACGCAAAACGAACAGTAATGTTTTTCCGAATCTAAGTGGGCAATCTTGCTTAAGATATTTTACTGGCTTTCATTTCTGGAAATGTTCTGATGGAGAGACAACCGTCCAACAAAGAACATTCCCTTATATAGACCAGGATAATCTGATGTCTTAGAAAGGATTTTTTGATCTGCATATCATTATGTCCGGGACAAAATGTGTGCAGTTAGTCAAACGTGGACCAGATTCCAGTCATCTACGATCTACAAAGCAACAAATTTGGCCACTTCCTCCAGGAGTTTATCCATACCCGTAAACAATAGGTTGAATACATTTGACCTGTGTGACATATAACTCAAATTCAAAAAATTGCTTCAGACAGGTCTTATTGAAACCTCGAGATTCAAACGAAGGTTTTAAGCCCACTTATTCCGCACATTTTCGTCGAATCGATAATAGGAACGTTTGAAAATGTTTATTATACGATTCAGGCTCCTTCAAGTGAATGTGCCCGGTCTGGCATGTGACACTGGCTTACATATTCTACGCGAACAACAGTGTACATAGAGAAAGGTGACTTTTACACTTAATTCTCTTGCCTTTATATCACGTCATTAAAGAATCGCAGATGTTTTACCATATAACAAGTGTTTCTGTAACGATTTTGTAATGCATTCACAGGTCAGATGTGTATGTAGAACAGAAGTCAACCAAACAAATTTGTGCTGCAACAGAGACCGATAAACTATCACCGAACATCTAATATCCTATCGATCAGAAGGGTTTATTGCGCCTGTAAAGAAAATCAAGGGTTTATCGACGCCCTAAATAAGTTCAGTATTGATTTCAAGAGACATGAAAAGGATCCAAACGATTAGCTCAATCAAGTTTCAGGTCCAACTGAAATATTCATTCTCTGATCGCTGAGTGAATAGAAATTCTACAACTCCCGCGGCTACATACAATTTGCCCTCCGTCAATTGCTGAATTCCCGAACATGATAATCTGTTGTTAATGGGCACACTGCACATAGATATCCGAGTGAATCTTTTCTACTACGTGGTTTTCAACAACTCGATCAGAACTATCCATATATATATATACATGCATATATATGTGTATATATGTATATATATCTCATTGAATATAACCAGCAGCTGGCTTGTGAGTGAGTGTGTCACAAAATCAATGAAGTAAAGCTGCATACTTGGGAGTCACGTAGGACGCATCAACATACAAAGGGTGCTTCAAATGACCGAAGATTGTTTCCAATGAGTTATTGGGATTGTCCATCAGTCGCACTGTTTAGTATTAAGTAGTAGACATTTGCCCACCAAGCTGCTTTACCTCCTGTTCATAAGTGCCGGGAATGGAATGCATTTTGAAACGGTCAGGAGGAGGATAATATTGCTTAGTAGCCGATTTCCTCTGAACCAAACATCTGCGCATATAACAGTCTAGAGATTTTGTCAACTTAGATTCCGATTTATTCATGTAATGATCCGTTACTTTCGTCAGTCATTCAGGTCTTACATGATTTTCATTGTACAGGAGCACATTGCACAACAGCTGCATCTGATGCAATCCCATATTGGACTAGGAATTATGGCATCCGATACATTAGCGGCACTTCTTCACAATAACCGCAAGCTACTCGAAAAGCACGTAGGACCTAGAGAGATCACTACATTTGTCAACCTACTGCGAGTGAATTACGACACTCGGTAAGCATGTTTGAACTACCTTTGTTATAAGTTATCAGCTAAAGAACATTTTCTAGCGATTTTGGGCGAAGTGTATGGTCTAAAGTCTGTTGATAACCCCTCCTCAAAAGTTGTTATTTCTTCGAGATTTTCATGAATACTTCGTACAATTACCTACCCTACTCTAGAAAAGGAAATTCACAACCAAGGTTGTATAACAGAAAGTCACTAGTTCAACAGAATTTAAACAAACACACCATTGCTGAACACATAAACATACTGCCAAAGTAAACCGCACCGCTCCAATGCGTCTTCGGGAGCGCCTCGTTACTGCTCCTCAATCAGCTGCCACAAGACAGTTTCCCAGGGATAATTACTACCGACAAAATCATCTTCCTATAGAAGACGTCAATACGCCAATAATATAAGGGGCTTAATCCGGTCTCAGGTTCCAACAATTTCGTCATACGCGTGAGCTCATAATAGTTACCCGATGTAATTTTTCAACGCACTTATTCGTATACTGTCGGTAACAGCCAACGGTCCAAGATGAACGCTTCAGATGGATATTTGATCTGCAATTTGTTCTTTTGGCATATGAATGGATAGACAACGAGCTGTAAGAATTTTCTGGGCTGCCCAACGGTCACGATGACAAATGTCCAATAGTTTTCGGATGTAGCCGTCACAGATCCGATCGAGGGAGCCTAAAGAACGATAAACCTAATCGGTAAACAGAGTGTGGCAATATTATCGAACCACAGTCCATAAGTTTTAACCCGAATCCAACTGCTGTTCAGATAACCAAGTGTTAGCAGCACTGAAATGATTTACGTGATAGAAACTAATAGAAATCCGCCCGCACTAACTACGCTTTCAAAGACAGCGGTTACCAAACACGCCAATTCTTGTCACAAACCCATACTACTTCGAAGTTGTAAAAAATTTGAGCCATGTGACTTCTTTCACGGTCGTCAAAATTCAAACGGTATACGGCAATGGGATAATTAATTTGCGCTTCTATATACTAACATCATCATTTGTATTTACTTTTATTTTAATTTTAATTGGGAACCATTAACCCGGAACGATTTGTCCTCCAGGGAAGATGTACAGAGGCTACTGTCTAGTCAAGAGGGCGGCTTTCACATAAGTTCTTTTTTGCAAGCATCCGGTGAAACTGGAAACGAAGGAGTGGTGGTCGGCTGACGATATGGTCACGAGCCATGAAGTTCTCGACGCAGTGTTAGTTAAAATCATTAGACATTGTCCGCCGGGTTGAATACCAGAAGATGGCTGGAGACACTCCGTTGTAGTGATATTCTGTTCGCCTACTCCATGGATTCCCATTTTCCATTCTAAGTCTTTACAATCAGCACTCCTCGCCTGTTCTTTTACTCCGTTTTTCTGATCCTTACTTTTCACCATAGTTGTCCAACTCAACAGCAGCATGAAATAGCTTCTCACAAACATGAAAAAACTTTGTGAACGATTATCGTGGTTATGGTGATGATGGTGGTGACGAGAATGAGAATAAGAGTTATGAATGACAAAACACCATCTAAAATATTCTCAAAATGTATCTGGTGAATTTTGCAAGTATGAAAAATGTTTTGAAGCCCAGCTTTAAAACAGTTTGCCTCCAGAAAGAAGAGTTTGAGAGGTTAGTAACAGTGTGCATAATGAATTAGCATCGGAATGTTGATAGGAAAACTGCGCCAGATAACTGTCATGCTACTATGGTTATCTGCACGCAGGAAGTTTTGTGAGTACTAAGAGTACTCCTCTTAATATCGTTCTTCTTCCCTTGGGATGGGGATGCCTGAATGTCATCGTTTTTAACTACTCATCCTCCTAGCCCAACACAATGGTTTCTTCAGTCGATCAGTTATTGCTGATGCATGTTTACATTAAAAAGACATTCTCAGTTGGATTGTGAGGCAAAATTGTTGAAGTCAGCTTCATCTTTGATGGTACGACAGATCCTGCTCAGCCCAAACCAGAAAGAATGATTATAAAAAGGTGGCCCAGCACTAGTTTGTTCCATCTAGAGTAATCTATTGTTGAACCCCAATCACAAAATTAATGTTTCGTTTGGTGAGCTTATACGTGTATAACTGGAACGATTTGAAAATCAGTGTTCAAACAATCAATCTGTGTCTGTTATTTTTTCCAGGTTCAAGCCTCTTTTATACTTATTTGAACTTGCCTCGGTTTGTACATCCAGCTTTTGATTATCTATCACCAAGACGTGTACAAAGTAAAATACTGCGTTTCAGATCGCACTTTCACTTGGCTAAAATTCCAATTACTGTTATCAGCAGTTACTTAATCCGTAGTAGAAAAACTTTGACTCACTCTGTCATGACTTAATTGTTTGATTCAGCCGTCAATGGGAATTTGAGTCCAAGGTGAGTCTGTGTCAGTGGGAGGCCGGAACAAAGCAAAAGGGAATTTCCCCTTGATTTCAGCTTACACCGTAAACCACATGCTGCTGATAGATTCTACGTTTTTTGCCATCACTTTGTCTCCAAAGGGGTTTAACTTACTTTTCTTCATTCTCTTCGTGCACATGAAAAATCTAGAATGAACGACGGAGCGGTAAAAGTATGTGGTCAGGAGAGTAACTCAAAATGCAACTCTCTAATGATCCCATACCCGAACCCCGACCATCTTTGAAGGAGTAGGTTAAGGTTTCTATTCTTTTTGTTTCACTGTAACTGCCTCCTAAGCGACAGCCTTATGTTTCTTTAAGCTATTTTATCAGAAGGTATCATGGTAATAAATTATACGTAGAGTGATCAATTTTTCGAAGATTCCCAAATATGCCATGGATTTTGAAACTTATTGCTTCGTATTCCTCCCTGTGTTCACGTGAAAAACGTACTGGCTACTTTTCCATTCTAGATTCTTAACTTATCTCTCAGAATTATGCACCTCGCATGGCGCTGTGATCCCAATCACACAGGAACTGATTTGTCATTCCCTTCTGTCCGAAGGCAACCTCGATCTCTTCATACGAGTAGAGTAAGTTAACTTATTATAAAACGTCGTCTAAGCCTAAGGAGCTCTGTTGATATACAGCCGGAAGGTCCCAGAACATATACATATATATATATATATATATATTGGGAATATCATTACTGCTCATTACCTCAACAGTCGTGGCTACTGAAGTGGCATAAAGCAGAGCTTCTGGATTGTTGATTAGTTCCAGAACAGAAGAAACACCACCGTTCTTCTGGTAAGCAGAAAGATATGGCTAACATTTTTGGCTTACTCGAAATCGGTAAGCTTCTGTAGGAACAACTGAGCCTGTTTTCATGGATAGGCGGACGAGACCGAACCATAGTAGGTGCACTTTAATGCATAAGGTCCTGATTACTGGACCGCTCGTCACAAAAGTAGAAGTCAATGGTTCAGGTTAATTGTGAATCGACAGACGCAAGCAAACAGCAGTACCTAACTGGAAAATGTAATTTCACCGACCAATTTCTCCTGAAACAAAAGAACAACGCTATTCTTTAAACTCGTCCGCATTCTTTCATTATGCAAGCGAAAATATTACAAACTTTTCTCATCAAATCATACTTTAAAAATGAATCATTTTAAAAGAAGTAGCTTACTGATAGTTTGGGCCGAAAAATGAATACCGTCGCCGCCATCAGTGCTACTAGTTCCACTGTTTGTGAATCAACCGAGCTGATGAAATAGTTAACTGCCTTTAAGTACACAGACTTGCAGAAGACATCATGAAATACTACACTTCTTACTCAATTATGAGTGCTTGTACCAATGTGATTTTGCTTGGACAGGGCAACATAACGTAGAAATGGATATTCCTTTGCATAATTATTGCAGTGCATAATACTCTTATGGAACAATCATTTCAAGTTAGGTAAAATTGAACAGTCCCTGCAGTGGTCATATATAACATCGTAGGTGGCAACATGAGCGAGAGTTTGCTTACTAATGCGTCTATTTCTGTATATTCATTTTTTCAGGTTGGTTGATGATGAGATTTTCCTGTTGTGGAGTCGACTTCTCGAGATCAACAATACTGTATCTTTATCATCAAATCTAGCACCAAGGTTAAATTATGGCAGGATCGCCCTGGTTGAGTTATGCCAGCTAGCAAGTATGCGGTCTCTAGTGAGTCAAACACATATGACGGACAACGAGCATCAGCCATTAACCATCCTCCAGTATTATCAAAGTCAAATGGAACTGTTTGCTCAAATGTGCAGAGAGCGGCAATACATTGCAATCAACTTTCTGGCACCTCAGCTGCCAATTTCGCTTTTGCTTAGGTATGGGTTTTGCATAGTAGTGCTGTGTTTTCTACTTAACGTGTTATACTCCGTCAGCTACAGAAAAACTGAGCCTATCATTATTCAAAATTTTATTTGCGTCAAAGGTTGATTTACGAACTCTTGGCATTCCTTTAGCGACCCCATTTTTCATCCGTCACTGACACAGATTTCGATGATAATTTCTGACATTTTCCCGTCAAAACATTTGAAATTACTTTTATTACACTTTCGAAGAATGTATAAATAGCAGTTAGACTGAAAATTCTCAACTCTTATTTCGAAAAGTCACCCAGTCAATTTCAATTTTGAACTTGTACTCTCACTGCACTTTATAATTCATAGGATATCATTATGTCGGTAGGCAAGACCATACAGTATCGCGATGTGAACAGAAAGCAAATCCGTATGTTGTAGCAGGTGAAGAATGCCGTGTATTCCTGTCTCACACTCAACGCACACACTAAAAGATAGCAATAGCCTCTTACAGTTGATTTTTCACAACTGAAACGAAATCCTCTTCAGGTTGTTGAAAGAGAAAATCTGGTCACCGGCTTTAGAATTGCGGTAGGTAGTTTCGCCAGGTCCATTTGCATGAGTACACAGGAGAGCCGTATAACTGAACAGAATAACGCAAAAGTTCACGCCTGTCGCATCACCCAGAGCTAGTTTCTACTCGGACCCGTGAAGCTAATGGACTAACCAAAATATGCTTGTTACTTCCACCCTCCTGCTACGCCGTGGAGCAAAGGGACAAGCGTCTACGGGCTCTCCTGAGACACGAATGGGGAAGCTTTGTTTGGGAAAATACGAAATGTTATATCGAGTGTTCTGAGGAGTTAAGGCCCAGAAAGTCCTCGACGGGAAGAAATCATTTAATGACCTAACGATTTTTTTGCATCTATTTTTCGCTTTTTGGTCTTTTAACACCTGTTAATTGAAGTGATATTTTTGTGATTCTTGGTGT